TTTACTTTATCTTAAATTAGTAATAGAAGTAGATCAAATATTTTATATAAATAGGATAGGAAATTGTTGTAGTTGGAGGCAAGTGAGAGATAGTCAGTTACAGTTAAAAATAGTTACAGTTAGAAAATAGTTAGATTTGAGTCTAGTAAAGTTAGTTAGTTAATTAGAGAATTTATTGTAAAATTCATAAATTAATAAGTTAGCCAACAACAAGAGCTTATTTAGTTTATTGAATTGTATCAATTTACTTATATTTTATTAATAAACCATACATTATCCCTATAACATTGATCTGTTAAACTTGTGACCTAAAACCCAATCTATCATAATTGCTCTTTCATCATATCAAAGCATTTATTATTTTCAATTTATAATTATATATCCTCAACATTCCCTGTACTTATAAATTAATATACTGTTAATTCAATAGTTTTATTAACGCGAACAAGTTCTTAAAGTTATTAAATTGAATCATTATCCTTTAGATACCTAAAACCTTGCTATACATGTTGAAGTCTATTTTTCAGTTGGTAGACTTCGTAATCGACTTGTATAATAATACCTAAAAGCTTAAAAAGATCAATTTTTTCAATTCAATGAAAATTCAATTGAAACCTCTATTTTTTTTTTTAATAATAATTAAATCAATACAAAATGTATTATAATAAAGTTTTTTTCAGAAATTTTGTTTATTAAAACAAGAATTTTTGTTGATAAATGATTTTGAAAATATATTATTATATTATTTTCAAAAGATTGTTCATTTTACTTTATTGAATCTATAATTTAATTTCTCATAATTCAGAATTTTCCTTCTCAAAGGAAAAAAAATCCTATGATTAACTTTTTTTTTCAATCTTAAAGTTATGATAACAGATAAATGTTTAACGGAAAAAGTAAATATATTTTAACCTCTTATTTTAAATCAAATCAAAATAAAAATAAATTTATCATATAAATAACACTTTTTTTTATAACAGTTAATTTTTAAAAAATTTCTGTAATAGCATATGGGAGCGTTTTCAGTAAAATCACTTTACAGATCATATGATTTACTATGCCTCATGACTTGATTTTACTGGAAATGTTCCTATATAATAATAATAATTTGATAGTAAGGTTAATAAAAATGCTATAAAAAATAACAATTATCAAATATATTATGATTTCATATCTTCCATCACATTAAAAATCGATATTTCATTCATAAAACTAATAAAATATAAAAAAATATTTTTTTTAATACAGTATATTGAAGTATAATTAACAAATAATCAATTTGCAATACTTTTAAACAAAATATTAGTCTATATTCATTATTTTACCTGTTATAAATGATATAAAATTTAATATTCAATTAAAAAAGGAATGCAAAGCATGTGAAACATCAACCTAAAGTAATATTTACAATAAGAATATAATTTAAAATAATATATTGAATCTATTAATAATATATTAAAAAAACTTTTAGATTATAATACTTTATTAAAGAATTGGAAATATTTAATAAAGAAAGAAATACATTATATTTGGTTAAAGATTATTATAACTTGAATTTATCAGTTAAATTTCTATCTATTATAATAGAAGATTAATTATGTATTATAGATTTATTTCTTGTAATTGTACTAATAGCTTTATAAAATTTAATAAAATAAATTTTATAAAAATATTTGTATTGAATTAATAAAACTAAGAAGTATAATTATATTAATAGCTAAATTAATATATGCAAAAATATATCTTTTATTTAATAATACAAGCTATTAAATCAATTTAAAATATAAAAAAATTTAAAAAAAATCCTATATAAATTATAGAATTAAATTCAATATCTAGTGATATAATTAATTAGCTATGAATATAATATATTACAAAAAAATATCAGTTAATAATCTTCAAAAACTATGTAAAATTTATTATATTATTATTACTTCATCATCATTTGCTACATCAAATTCTTAAAGATTAATATCTTTTTATACTTATATAAATATCATAAATCAATATATATTATTTAAGCATCAGTATTTTGTTATTTTTAATGGTATTTTATATTTTATTTATTTATGCTTATTGGTTTTGAATCAATCAATTTCACCCAAGATATTACTTAAAAACTTAAAAAGCAAAACTGTTCTATTATATTATATTAGAACTACTAATACTTATTTAATCCCAAAGTTCTGATTGGCTGGTTTAGTATATTTGTCATGTACTAATAAGTACATAATATTCGTGGATGTTTCAAAATACAAGGCTGATAAAAAAAATTAGGAGCAATAAAATTATTGCAACGGCGTGTATTAATTTTTTATACTTTAAAAATTTAATGCTTTGATTAATAATCATGTGGTCGGTCATTTTTTGGCAGGTGATTTAATGTGACTACTATGGAAGGGAGTCAGAACATAATAAATACACCAGATACGCAAGAAGTCAGAAAAATTTTGTATACTCTAAAGAAAATTCATCAAATATTAAAAGCATGGATCCCGACTGGCAAAACAAACTTCGATCGTCTAAAGGAGAATATCCTAATACAGAACAAATTAGAATCATTAATAGATTTAAACGGGAAGAAATTTTCAATCACAATTACCCAGAAATTGATTGATTTATGAAACTTTATAAAATATCTGAAATCACTCAAATGATGAAAAGAGAACTTGGAGAAAAGCAAGATTGCAGGGTTTATTTGGGGAGGTGCAGACCCTAGTGAGAAAAAGTTATTTCAAGAATTGTGCTCACAATTCAAAGAATTGCTTAGATCTATGTATGAGACACAATAATCAAAATAACTAGAAAGACACTACAAGTTCATCATTTTAATTTCTGAAATAGTTAATAGTTAATAGTTAAAATTAGAGTTGAAAAAAAATTACGTTATATTTATTGCTTTATTAATGTGATGATATTTACTAATAAAAAACATTTAAATTAAATGATTTTAAAGTCATATACTATTATAAAAGATTGCTTTTGTAATGATTTTCCTGGATTAAACGATAAGCTAAAACTAACGTGAATCAGAATTTAGTTACCCAAATTGATTTTATCCCCCTCAACTGTCGATCTAAAATACTGTTTGTGTAACTTCTTCAAGCATAAATAGCATACAAAATCTCTGAAATTTTTAAGGAAACGAAATTTATTAGTTATATTTATAATTTTTTTCTTACTAGATTTATTGCCTTTGAGAACTTTGAGAATTTTTTGAAGTTTCATTAACAAATAATATTACATTTATATAAATCTATATGATAGAATATAATTAGATATTAAATAATAAAGGTATGTTCGGTGTTGAATTAGTTTGTTCCGATCCAATGTTTGCATTGATTCCGTCATCGATTTTAAGTTTCCGATTAGAAACTCCGGCTGCATAAGTATCGACGGTTTAATTGATGATGTAATGATTTATCTTATTTATTTCTACAATTTACTTTTTACTTTTTACTTTTTCTTTTTAATATCAGGAGACTTGAATAGATAATTAAAGCCCTATTTTTATTTTTATTTTTTTTAAAACTGGGAAAGTTTTATTAATCTCTTTCACTTAATTTTTCATATAGAAATTGAATGGATTCTTCACCTATCGATAATTCCCAAAATTCTCAATCGAATAACGATCCCAATCTGTTGGCCGAAAGTGGTGTAGAACAATCTACTAAGAATAATTGTTCTGATAATCATGAATCAACGGCCGGTTTCAATATATTATTTGACCCAAATATTTTTGGAACTTGGATTAGTGGGACTGGAAGTAATGATCATTTGAATTCAAATAGACCTAAAACTGTAGTAGATCATAATAGTGTAAAGAAAGGTTTTGATTCAATAAGATTATCAAAAAATTCGGACTTTTCAATAATTTTAGAACAAGATGAAGAATTGGACAAATCTTTTGAGAATGTATTGGTATGTTTACTCATCTTTAGTAGGTTTATTTTAAATACTTTGAAAATTTTATGGAAAATTAATTGGTTATATTTTAGGATGAGATGAATATTCATGGGTTACCGCGTAGTAAAATGTTGCAAATGTCAGAAGATCATAAGAGGATATTGGTATTTCAATTTAAACACAATAAAGCTCTTGAAAATTCAGAACAAAAGGACAATATGGATAAATCAATACGGAAACAAAAAGAAACAGAACCTATGAAACAAGTTCTAAAAAATCACAATGATAATAATGATGAATCAAGATCACCGCGAAAGATTATGCGCGATTCATTTACAAGTACAATTGGGAGTGATGTGGATTCGAATAAAAGTCCATCATTAAAACCTTTAATGACATCTTTGCTTAATCCAGATCAGGTTTCTTTAGAGCAATCTTTAACCGATGTGCAAGAAGAGATACCTCAATCCTCATCAATAAGTTCAGGGGGATTTTTTAGTTCATGGTTTGGATTATCATCATCTACTAAGGTTCAAAGAACTCCGAATTATTATGTAGAAAAAATATCGCAAAAGAATGTTTCACCAAAATCGTTAGCAGAAAGATTACAATCATTGCGTGTAACGTTAACAACGGCAAAATTATCGTGGATAAAGAATTTTATTGATGACAATGGATTGGCATCATTGGAGTATGTTCTTGAAAGATATACGGCAGGAACAAGGAGAATTATTCTAAGAAATTCCGATCATGATGGTAGAATTCATTCAGAATGTGTTCGTTGTTTAAGGGTTCTACTCAACACAGAGGTTTATGATCTTTTTCTTTTCTTTTCTTTTTTTTTACATTGCGTGAATTCTCTATTCTGATAATTTTTTATAATAATTTTTTTGTAAGATCGGATTTAATCAAGTATTAAAATCTAAATCATTAATAAATAGTATAGTGTTTTGTCTTCATACACCAGATAATAAACTGAGATCACAAGTAGCGGACGTTTTAGCTGCTATATGTGTAATATCTCTAAAAGGTCATGGATTAGTATTATCAGCATTTTCAGATTTTAGACAAATTTATGAAGAGAATTTTAGATTTCAATATTTAATTGAAACTTTAAGAGGAAAAAAAGATGATGATAGCAGCACTTTAATGGAATATAAAACTGCAAGTTTAAGATTAATTAATGCCATCGTGAATTCACCTGAGGAAGTTGAAGAAAGAATGTTATTGAGGGATGAATTTCATAGGAGAGGATTGTCGGAATTATTTGCTGTATGTTTATATAATTTTGTCAGATTTAATTATATCGAATTAAAAAGGTTTTGACAAAATTATCATCATTTTTTTTATTTAGATTTTCAAAACTTCTAATCCACCTGAATCACTATTAACGCAAATCCATTTGTACGAAGAGGAGAATCAAGATGATTTAGAAGAATTATATGAAAAAATCCATGATCTTGTAAGAGACGCAAAGTATGTTATTTGAATTCTTTCCTTGCTTTTGAATCCTTTGTTATTATGATCGCTAATATCATTACATTGTTAATTATAGTGATCCATTCTCTATAATTATAGGACTTATAAAACAAGTTGAATATGATTATGATTTGTACTCAAGAGTTATTGAAACTCTAAAAAATTTCTTAAGAATTGCTTGTAAGGACCTAGAAGAGTAAGTATTAAATAGCTTTTATTTTGATTATTTGTATTACAAATGATATTTCATAATTAATTATTTTTTTAGTGATGACCAGAATGATATTTTGGATATTATTGAATTATTTATTGAAAGAATAAGGTCAATCACAAATATTAAAGAAGGTATGTATATCTATCTACCTTATAATCAAAAAATACGATTTAAAATCATTATTATGACTGGATTATTTATTTGATTTGATTTTTAGAATGGCCGATTTTTATGAATGAATTTCATTATTCAATTGGTGATATAATAGGACAATATTCTGTAATTAGTGGGAATGTAACAAATGATCAAATTGATGAAATGAGAAATCAATTAAATGAACTGAAATCAAAGGTTGTATAATATGCAAAAGTTATATATTTTCAATTTTATATTTTGAAACTCGTTAATTTATTTAAAAATTTTTTTTTTTTAGGTTGAAACTTTAACAAAAGAAAATGATATTATATTAGAACAAGCAGCATTAAATAAAACTTTAGATATATCTGACGAGAAAAATAGGTCTAAAGCAAATTTGGATTCAATAAATGATGATGATAGCTCAGTATTACCTAGTATATTAATATCTCCAACATCAGCTATTCCTTTGCTTCCGTCGCCATCTCAACCAATTTCAAATAATGTGAACAATTCAATTCCACCGTCATCATCATCACCACAATTTCCTCCAAGTAATGTGAATGATTCAATTTCACCGCCATCGCCACCATCATCACTTCCTCCAAGCAATGTGAACAATTCAATCAATTCAATTCCATCATCGCCGCCACCATTTCCTCCAAGTAATGTGGAGAATTCAATCAGTTCACTTCTACCACCGCCGCCGCCACCTCCATTTCCTTCAAGTAATATGAACAATTCAATCAATTCACATCCACCACCACCACCGCCGCCACCTCCATTTCCTCCAAGTAATGTGGACAATTCAATCAATTTACTTCCACCACCACCTCCGCCGCCACCTCCATTTCCTCCAAGCAATGTGGAAAATTCAATCAATTCACTTCCACCACCACCTCCGCCGCCTCCTCCATTTCCTCCAAGTAATGTGGACAATTCAGTTCCACCGCCACCACCACTACCACCTTATTCTCATGATATAGGAGTGCCACCACCACCACCACCACCACCTCCACCACCCCCACCTGGTATGGGAGTGCCACCACCTCCACCACCCCCACCTGGTATGGGAGTGCCACCACCTCCACCACCTCCACCTGGTATAGGAGTGCCACCACCACCACCACCTCCTACAACATCAACATCGAAACCAATTCCTGTACCAATAATAACAACCCCCAAAATAGTTAGACCAAAATGTCCATTAAAACCATTATTTTGGAGTAAAATACCACCACATAAATTAAAGTCAACAGTATGGGAAGAAATACCTCTTATAGTTACGAGAGAAATTTCTATAAATCACACAGAAATTGAAACTTTATTTCCAAAAAATGCTATAAATAACGCATTAAAATCACCAATGTCACCAACTAGCATGAAAAAAAATACAGTAGTAACATTATTGGATTTTAATCGGGCTAATAACATCGGTATTATGTTAGCTAGAATAAAATATACTTATATTGAAATTAAAGATGCTATATTGGAAATTGATGATGAGAAGTTATCTGTTGAAATTTTAAGAAGTCTTAAAAATTATGTACCTAGTAGTGAAGAGAAAGAATTAATTAAAGACTATGATAGTGATATTAATAATTTGGGAAATGCCGAAAAATATTTTAGAGAGGTTATGGAAATTCCTCGATTAGCTGAAAGATTGGGATGTATGATTTACAGAAGAAGGTTTGAAATGGAAATTCAGGAGTTGACACCTGTATGTATATGTTATAAATTTGTTTGAATTTTTTTTTTTTTAAATATATATATATATATATATTTTTAAATATAGGAAATTGAAGTGTTAAATGATGCATATATTGAATTAAGAGAATCCGAAAAATTTAAGAGATTATTAAAGGTATGACAAATGATTTTATTTATTTAAAGATATTTATATTTATTAATTTAAATCTCCTTTTATTTAGACAATTTTAACTCTTGGTAATTTTATGAATCATTCTACGTTTAGAGGAAATGCAACAGGATATAAATTAGATGTTCTCTTAAAGGTGTAACTCTTAATTACATATTTTTTTCAAATTTTCATTTTTCTAATATTTTAATTCTTTGTTTATTATTAGATCCGCGATACTAAAGCTCTTGAGAACAATTCAAAAGGAATAACAACATTATTGCATTATTTAGCAGCAACATTAGAAGAAACACAAAACGATCTTGTAACCTTTATGGATGATTTACCGCATTTGGAAGCTGCTGCAAGAATTTCTGTTGTAACTGTCATAGCTTCAGTGAATGAACTAAGTAATGGTATTAATTTAATTAAAGAAGAAATTAACTTTATGAAAAATCTTCAAACTAAACAAAATGATTATTTTATTAAAAATATGGAGGTAATATCATAAAGAATTCTTAATTCTACTTTATTCTACATTTGAATTTGAAATTTATGTTATTTATGATATATAGGAATTTGTTGAAAAAGCCGAACCCACAATTATAAATATACAAGATACTACTCAAAAATTGGAAGAAAATTTAAAAGAATTATTAATATGTTATTGTGAAGATCCAATCACTACGAAACCTGAAGAATTTTTTGGCATGATTGTATCATTCGGTTCTTCTTTAATTGTAAAGTATCATAATAGTAGTATTATATCATTATTATATATATGGTTCTAACACAATAACTATTTTATAGAAAGCTAAGCAAGATAATGAAGAAACCAAAAAGAAAGCTGAGAAAGAAAAGCAAACGCGTTTGGTGATTATAATAATTTTAATTACTCTAATTATAATAACAAAATTACTCACTATAAAATTTAATCGCATAATAATAGACTATACGTCGTCCTTCTGAAGCACCATTAAGTTTAGCTTCACTTGCAGCAAAAGGAGATTTAGATGAAACGATAAGAGAATTAAGAAATGGACTCAAACGAAGTCGTTCACGTCCTGTATCAATAGTTCTTTCGGAATTAAATATCAATTCTTCAAGACCAGCTTCTAGAATATTTAATAATTCTTCAAGACCTCCTTCAAGAATATTTAGTAATTCTTCAAGACCCTCTTCTAGAATATTCAGTAATTCAAGACCTTCTTCTAGAATATTTAATAATACTCGTCCTACTTCAGGAATTTTTGTCAAATAAATTAAAACATTATTTATTATATCTATTGTAATTATAATTAGTAATTTTAATCTTAATTATTATAATTATCTGAATTTTTTAATTTGGTTTTAATACCATTGATTATATTAACTTATGTAAAATATTAATATTAGTAATAAAGTTGAAAGTTCAAATAGTTATATATAAAATTACAAATTTTTATTTATATAATTTATTAGTGATCATATATAATTATTTTTTATTTTAAATAAATAAATTATTATTGTTATAATTTAATATCATTAATAAAAACAAATATAAAATTAGGAAAATATTATATAAAATATAAAATTATAATCAAATATTATTTAGATTCTAATCACAATTATTTTAAAAACAACTATAATTATTTATTATAATAGAATAATACTTAAAATTAAAATTTATTGTTTCTTTTTCTAATTTTAAAAATATTTTAAATATTTATTTATCAATTACTATTTTAAGAGATTTAGAGATTTAGTGATTTAATTATTAGTAATATTTTATATGATTCATATAGAGTTTGTTTGATCAATATTTTATATAATAATTGTATTAATAAATAATAAATAATTTTAAACAGCTATAATTTATTTGTATATAATATTATTATAAATATTTAAATATTTGTAATATTAATTTATTAAATTAACTTGTTATAAAAACTTGTTATTTATCAAATTTATTAAATTAATTAATATATTAATTTCCAAATTATTATTATTAGAATTAATATTTTGTATAAATTTTGTAGATAATTGGTTTTTAATATTTATTTAAAAAATTAAAGATAATAAATAAATAAATCAAAAATAATAACTTTTAACAAAATTCTAATCTTATTTAATTGTAAAAAATCCTTTATTTTATAATAATTATTATATATATCCAAAAATATATATAGAAGTTTTGTAATAAAAAATATGAAACTTTAAAAAAAAATTTTTTTTGAGTTAATGTTAAATTTTAACTTATTTTACTAAAAAAAAAAATTATATTTAACTTATAAAATAAAATTTTAATTTTTTTAGAGTTTCATATCTTTTTATTGTAAAGTGCTTATATTATATTATTATATATATATTTAAATTTTCTTAGTAAATTTTTATTTTATTAATAAAAAAATAAGATTTTAATCCATTATATATAAAGATAATATTATAACTAATTTGAAAAATCTGTAACTGGTTGCAATCTAAATTACAACTTAAAAATTTATAACTAATTGTAAACTTTTAAATACAAAAGGTATTCAAAAATTTTTGAACATATTTTTGATATTGTATTTTTCAAAACTCATCAATTAGAATTAAAATAAATTTTATAGCATAATATCTTATTATCAAAATAAGTAATTAGTGTTTAAAAATAATTAAATTTTGTGTAATAATTAGCCATAAAATCTAAAAATAGATTTTGACATTACTCATCTGATAAGTTGAAATGCCAAAATAGTTTCATATTAATGAAAAATGCAATCAAACTTTACTTTATTTATAACTTTAAATTAATAACTTCTTTTTTTTTATTTAATGAGTATACAAAAATGTTAAAGATAATAAATATCTTTGTAAGGATCTTCTACATATTGATAAATTTTTTGATACAAACATTTTTTTCTCTCTTCAGATAGATCTATAACATCTATAGTATCTATAGTATCTAATTTTTGATTTATAATAAAATTACTATTATTACGTAAAAGTTTATGACAAATTTCAACACTACCAGAATTTTCTGAACAATAAACTTTTTCTAAATCTTGTGATAAATTACTAAAATGAAAATAATGATATTTTGTTATATGAGATAAATTTAGAAAGTTTCTTTTAAAAACATTTTTTGAAAATCAAACCACTTCCATCTAATATCACTATTATATCTAAGTCCTTTATTACTTTTTGATGATTTATTTATAATTTCATCAACATCATCTACAGTATTAAGTTTTTGATTTTGATAAGTTTTTTTGATTTTTCAAATAATGAATTACAAATAAATTTTGTATGATCTGATATCATAAAGTTAATTATAATATTATTATATCTACCTAACATATATAATCAAGACCAAAAAAAAATGATAAATTGTTTTTATTTTGTGCAATACAATTATCACATGTAATATGTAAATCTTTTTTTCTACCTTTAGCAAATATTTTAATTGATTGATAAACTAAATTTAATGTTATATTAGCCTTTTTTACTACATCTTTAGAAAATTCATCTTCTGCAATAATAAAATTTATTTGTCTATTTTTTCTACCTTCAGTTTTACAAACACTAACTAAATGAACAGCATAAGCTGTTTTAAAATAAATTGAACCAACTTATTGTGATGAATATGAAATAGTTACATTTTGTGCCAATCATAACAAATATGTGCTATGGATAAATTATATTTACTTTTTAATATTATTATTATTATTATTATAATATATACACTCTAAATCTGCTGTTTCACAATATTTATTATATTGTTCTCCTTTTATGTTTGATAGGTATATTTACATTCTTGTAGTATTTACTGTAGACAAGGAAAATAAGGCATAAAATTTATAAGCAAAATATAAAATTCTTCTTATAGTTTTAAAAAAAATCATATGACTAAAATTTCAGCTAGGTGCTGCCAAAAAAATAGCCAAGAATTTTTTTTAAAAGACAGATTATTTTTATTTAAATATTATGTAAAATTCATACAATAAAGATATTTTTTTTGTATTTTTTGATATATAAAATTTAATAAATTTTTGTGGAGTTGCATGAGAAAATATAGTCAAACTTAAAGCCTATCTCGAAAGATAATGACTTCTCCTATTCTTTGGCTTCCTAATTATCACTATTACTACTGATACTACTACTACTACTACTACTACTACTATTACTACTAAAATTTCCTCTTTCCTTCTCTATTAACCCATATTTCAACTTTATACAAGGAAATAATCCTTAGTATTTTTTGATGATAGTAGAAACTCGCCAAAGTTGTAGAGCTTAAATGTATTTCTTGAGAAATTACATTATATATCTATGTATGCAAGCACTCTTCCCTTCTTTTTCTTTGATTAAATAAGACTGTGAATTCTACCCATAAAGTTTGTATTTTATCAGGATATTCTAAATATTGACTGGTAGATATATAGCTGAAAGAGAATCAAGATAAACCTAATGATAAATAATAAAAAAGTTAGTATCTATTTACTCTTAAGGATATATGCAAAACAATCAGTAAGAGCATAAAAATTCTTACCTTGTGATACACAATCCCATTCTGCCTCTCCTTTCATTTTTTGTATTTCATTATTCTTGATTTTTCAAGTTTAACAATTTATGAGGTCAGAGTTGAAAAGAAATATTTGTGTAAAAATAATATGACCTCCACAAAGATTATATACATTATAGCATTCCTTGTGAAAATGCCTTAAAGCATCTCTATTATTAGAACACCCTGGGTTAGCATCTCATAGATTATAATTACAATGCTGAAGAGTACGATCAAAAACATATCAGAATTTGAAAGCATTTTATGAAGATAAATGAGAAATTGGTTTGAGAAATAAGTTTGAATAAGATTTGATGAAGTTTTCAAGATATATACAAACTTTATTTTTTAATTTGCGAAATTTATGATTAATTATACACAAAAGATTTTTGATTTATTTGGAGTAGAGACTCTGTCTTTTATTTGTTATAAATATTTGAGGATTGATTGGATTTTGTATTTGCAAAATTAATATATTACTTTTTTTTATTTGATTCTCTTACCAAATGTTTCTAATTTACCCAGCATTTTTATAAATAATATTTCTTCGCAGTTAATCGCTATGATCATCACAAAACATAAAAGTTCCTAAAACAAATATGGCAATTCTAATGTTTATTAATTTGCTGATTTCAATTCTGAAATAATATGTGAGCATTAAAAAATAATAGCATATAGAGATAAATTATGACTAGTTATACAGTGTTAAAATTTTTATTTGTATGTGAAATCTATGATCCTAATAACCCCTTTTACTACTTTAATTTTTTCTAAATAATAAGTTATCTAAAAAGTTGAATGGAATTAGTGTCTGTAAGCTTCATAAACAGTCTTATTTCAAACTAATACCACTCAAACTTATCTTAGAAAAGTCTGGCACTTCTTCATATTATGATGTTGTGAATATACTGATAGACCCTTTGAATTTTTTGGAAGAAATAATTTAATATTGATTTTTGTTAGAAAAAAATATGAATAAAGTGCCTTATATGCAATTTGCAGATCACATATCATATGTTACATAGCCTCTTATTCTTTTGATAAAAAATTTTACTGATATCATACTGTGAATTTTAGGACTAGAGGTGATTGATCTCACATGATTGGCTAAATAAAAACATGTATACTATTCTTTCATAAGATTATTAAGCCATAGAATAACATAGTGTGAAATTTAATATTATCTTACAAAACTTTGTTACTTAAGCAACCTTTTTTTATTACAATATCTCACCATTAAATATAAATTTTTTATTTTTATTCGATGCATCGCACATCTTATAAGAAGATTTTCATATGATTGGTTATTGCAAATTAATTTAAATCAGATATTATTTATACAGTTTAAAGTACTTTTTCAGAAAATGGAATTATATTAAGTAAAAAAAAATATAATTTCAGTTTCAAAAGAGTTTGCTTATAGGTGGTATTTCTATAATACGAAACTTAAAGTTCTTTATATTGCATAACATTAGTATTGGAGTTTGAAATTTAAGTTGGAAAAGTGTTCTATGATAAATTTTATTGATTATTTGTAAATAAGAATTTGTTTTGATATACTTTATTAAATAGTATTAGATTCTTTATTTATTTATCATTATAGTTTGTTATTTATCTTTATTATTATTTAACTTTTAAATTTTATATTTATTTTAGTTTTTTTTATGGGATTTTCTTCCTGAACTATTAAACCTAATTTTTCTCTCACATCACTCATATTTAATCAATACTTTAATATTTTGCTACTATATCAAACTGCTAAGGATTTTACGATTTCACAATTTATTGCAAGTGCTAATCAAAGTCCTTTAAATAACCTCAATTTTTTAAACTAATTATCCATTTAGAAAAGATTTCATATTTATGATCATTTTTAACATTATACAGTGAACTCTTAATATAATGAATTCTAGGATCTGAATTTCAACTTTGTTATAAGCTTATAATGAATTTTTAAAGAATTTAATTAGCTGGTTCACTATAATAAGATATATTTAATATATTTGATTTAAAAATTTGCTATATCAAGGATTTGCTATATTAAGGTTTGACTATATACATTAGCTTTTTTTTTTAAAATACCTTCAAAATATTTTTTTAATGTTAGAAAAAAATAAACAGTTTTTTCTTTAAGATTATATCAGACATGTATAAGCAGGGTTGGGAATTTTGTATGTACTAGATAAAATTACCACTGTACTTGTACTGTACTTGTACTAATTTTTATATTAATTATTATAATGTACTAACTGTACTAACTGTACTAATCATTATACTAACACTGTACTTCCCAACCCTGTGTATAAGTTTTTGTAATACTTTTTTTTTTTTTGTTGGTTTGTTGATAACAAATTACTAATATATTTAAGAGAACATTTCTTTTGACTCTATTAAAATATAAAAATATTAAAAATTATATTTTAACGTATTAATAATAATATTTTCTTACTATTTTAAGTTTATTTCAAAATTTCTATATATTTTAATTAGCTGATTCAGTTTTTTTAAAGAACTGAAGTTAAAATTAAAATAAAATTTATGTCAAATAAAGATACATATTATAGCTTTTTGATGATTTTTTTTGACACTAATTTGTGATTTTATTAAATAAGTACAATCAGCATTTTAAATTAATAATAATTATCTTATAATTTTATATATAATTTCAGATCTATTAATAATAAATCAATTTATATAACCTAAAGTTAGCTTCCTTTTCCGTTAATTTTAACTAACCCTTAAGTATAATAAATTATTATTAATTTTTATAATTTAAGTTGAATTTTTGTCAAATCATATTACTGAATCAATTGAATGTTTGACAAAAACTCTTAATATCAAAATAATGCTAAATTATGTATGATGTAACAAATTAATATCGATTTTTGTAACTTAAGCTGAATTTTTTTCGAATTATATGACTGAATCAGCTGAATGTTTATTAAAAGATCTAATGGTGAAATAATGCTAAATTATATGTAGTGTAATAAATGACTATCGATTTTTATAACTCAAGCCAAATTTTTATCAAATCAAATGATATTAATGCTAAAAAAAATGATTTAAACTAATATAAACCTTTTAAAAAAAGTTAAGCAATATTTACTTTATTTTTTACTTTCGTATCTGTTTTTGGATTTCTCATTTACTTTGTAATAGGAATTAAATTTTTAATAAATAAATACTTCACTGCATCTTTAAAAAAAAATTTATATTACAGATGATTATATATAATTTTATTATATATAATCATCCTATTTATAATTACATAATTTTTAAAAATCAATAGTGGTGATTATAAACAGGTTGACTGTAATAGAAAAAAAGAATTTCATATATAGTGCTTTTGGTAAACTTATCATATGTCTCATATAATAGAATTTCTAGGTAAATCACTTATCATTATATTATTAATGATGCAAGTATTTTACAGATATATAATCCTTCATTAACCAGTTTCCTTTTTTTTGTATAGGCATTATTATACTTAGGTGATTTCCAAACTTTATTCTTACAAAAGATTTCACCTATTTATATTATTTATTAAACAATAATAATATTAGATGAATCTTGAATAAAAAAATAAAGATTTTAGTATTCGCCTTATTATTTCTTAAAGTTTTTCAGAATATTTCATCCAAATTTATTTTTGACTTTTCATTATAAATTAACTCTTTACAAGTCTATTATCAAATAACTTATATTTTATGAAGGGTTCTTTAAAAATATTGTAAAGTGATTCAGATATCTCTATGAAAAGTTTTGATTTAATATCAAGTATTTCAAAACATATAGGATAGTTAAACCCAAGACTTTCAATGTCAATTTCTTCCAATCTCAATTCTTTTCCATATAGTTTTTTCATAACCAGAATTATATTTATATTTTGTCTAACATCACATTTTAAAAGCTGTAAGTTTATATTAATATCTTCAGATTATGTCTCAGTATCAATTACCAAAGCTTTTATTTTTGTAAGTAAGTATAAATTTTTAAAAGCAGTTATCACCTAAATATAATATTTTAGATTTAGCTTAATTTATATTTGATAAAATTAAATAAAGTATAATTCACAGAATCAAATTAAGTTTTTATTTTCATATAATATTAAAATACTAGCAATAAATCTGGCTGAAAATGTACTTTACTAGGCATATATAATACTAGTTATTACTATGTAGTAATAATAATATTATAACAGATATAATGTATTTATTCACTAATACAGTGACTTCCATAATTATTGTACCACTTTATTTAAAATTTTTAAATTGTAATATTGTTAAATCTATTTATCATACAATAAAAAAATTTTATTAATTATTAAACCTTAGGCTTTCTTTATTATTTATTAAAATTTAATTTGCATATTATTGAATTTTAAAAAAAAAATCTTGAATCACTAAAACTTTGCGATGCAATACTTTTGACATATGGGAGGTTTGCTAGAAAAATTGGACTCTGAACATTTTTTATTAAAATTTTAATTTTTATTGCATTTTAATCTAATATAATCAAAAATTAAAATGCAATAAAAATTAAAATTTTAATAAAAAATGCTCAAAGCCCAATTTTCCTAGCAAACCTCCTATATATCAAAAAAAAAATTTGATTACATATTTTTCAATAAAATTGTTAACTAACCCTATTTGAATTTTTTTTAAAAATCCAATCACCATTTCATATATCCTTCACCAGCCTTAAGAATATCTTTAACCCATTGTGGTATTATATTAATTAATTTTAAACAAACATCAATATCAATCTGATTCCATACTAGTTGAATCTTATTCCACAAATCTTTTACACTAGTAATATTATCAGAAAGCTATCGCAAATGACAATCAACTTCATTCCACAAATATTCAATGGGATTTAAGTCTGGCAATTGTGCTGGCCAATCCAAAACCTTAACATAATTGTCATCAAACCATTCGATTGTCTTATTAGCTGTATGCTTTGGATCATTATCCTGTTGGAAAATAACATCATTTACAGTTAAATCACATGTGTTAAGAGTTCTAAGAAACCCATCTTTCAAAATGTCTCGATATAAGTCTCTATTCATTCTTTCATCAATTTTACAGTATAATCCCACATCAAATGCACCCATACAACCTCATATCATCACAAAACCCCTACCAAACTTATACAGTTAGTTTAATATGTTGTGACTGCAAATGTAAATTTGGATTCTTCCAACACTATTTCCTACCATCTGAATCAAAAATCATAAATTTACTTTCATCTGATCACATTACTCTTTTCCAATCTTCTATAGTCTAATCACAGTACTTTTTGGCAAACTTTTTTCAAGCAATTCTATGTCTTTTTAAGAGCAATATTTTTTTTTAACTCTAGCTACAAGACTTTCCCTTTTTAATGAACGCTGAATTGTATTTGAAAATATATTAATGTTTTTATTAGAAATTAACCTTTTTGGATTTGAATAGCATTAGAACATTCACCTGACTTTATAAGTTTTGCAATATTTCTATCATGATGCTCTGTAAGAATTCTAGGGTGACCTGGTTTTGGAATAACATCAAGACTACCAGTTTTTTCTTTCCTTTATTTGATTCTTATTACAAAGGAATGACTAACATTTTCACAAAAAGCTACTGAACGACTTGAATATCCCTTCTGAAAAAGGGTAATGATATGTTCCCTTTGATAATATAGTATCACCTTCATTATAAAGCAAAAAAATTCTGTGAGAAAGTAATACAAAGTGATTACAAATTAGGTTTATTTATATTTATTAAGGCGCATCTCACAAGCATCAGTTGATCAATTTTTAATTTAGTGCTATAAATATTATTTCACAAAAAAAATACACAACTTAAAAATTTTGTAAAAAGTCACAAATTAAATGCTAATCAAGTTTTATATTTATTAAAAATAAAGTTTACAGCTTTAAAGTTAGTTAAATTTTAAAATTAGACAATCACTTCAATTTTGTAGAATTACAATTTAAAAAAATTAAATGGGGTGGTGCTATAATTATAAAAGTCACTATATATATATATGCCAGAAAATATAAAAAATTTATTGTATCTATATTTATCATAAAAATATTTTATTGTTTTACCTGTTTTACCAATTTTTTTCTAGTATTAAACTTCAAAACTTTTTTATTCACTTAATATCCTCTGAGGGAACTTATTCTAAAATTTTTTCAAAATTTTTTCAAAGTTCTCCATTTTTTTTTTAAGAATACCTGTCTATTCATTTTACTTTACTCGTATAAACAATGCTATAGAAATTCTGATAATATTAAAAGACTTTCTTATTAAAGGATATTCTTCCATATTTTAATAGAATAAAAAGTTAAATATTAGTGAAAAGTTTACTAAGTAAAGTAAAAATAAAGTAAATTTTAATAACTTTTTATCATATTTTTCTTTTAAATATATTGCAATTTCTCTATTTACGTTTTCTCTGAGCTTGAGTTCATGTTGGAATCAAAGCAAATAAATGTAAGATATTTTATGCCAAAATTTTGTATTTAAGAATAAGATCATATGGGAGTGTTTCCAGTAAAATCACATTATGGATCATATGATTTACTATGCCTTATGACTTGATTTTACTGGAAACGTTCCCATATGAAATATATGGGAACTTTGCAATAAAAAGGGAGAAAACTCTAAAAAAAATTTTTTTTGAGTTAATGTTAAATCTGGACTTATTTTACAAAAAAAATCATAATTAGCTTAGA